ATTGTGTTATATTAACAGTAATGGCTGAAAAACTCTATAAATTTACTAAAATTATCTGTATGGTTAAAACAAGTGAATTTTATGATATATAAACTATACTTCAATGAAGCTGTTTAAAATTTTGAATTAAAAGAAAAAGAAAACTATCCATGATGTACAGTATGGTTCCATTGTTGAAATGCAAACTAGGGCATGTTTACAGCTGCTTGAGTAGGTTATTGAATTTTCCCTGTGTGATAGGATTATGGATGATATTCTCCTACTGTGTTTATTGTCTGTTTAAAAAAAAAACACTTAACAGGAATTATTTTCACTATTAGAGAAAAAATTAATACATTATTTTATTGGTGACGCAGTATAGTATCAAATGCTTAGCTTTGAGTCCCAGCTGTGCTTCCTTAGGCAAGTTACTTTAACCCTCTGTGACTCAGAACCTCTGAGGATAAAAGGGAAGGTAATGCTAATGCCCACTTCAAAGTGTTGCCAGGAAGACTAAATTAGTTAATACTTGGGAAGGACTTAGAAAAGTATCTGGCACATAGTAATACATCTGTTGTTTTGCTATTATTTCCATATTGGAAAGAAAAGTGAGAAAGCAGCAGAGGAAGCAGAAAGCAGCAGAGAGAAAGCAGGGTACATATACATACACATATACAAGTTCCACATGTTGGAAGAGCCTGTGAGGAGGGGAAGCTATATTAGAAGGCACTGATGATAAATTCCATCTAATTTGCATTTTGTCTATGGACAGCCGTTTTTGCCCCAGGTCTTAGAGCATCAGGGAAAATTCTCTGTGGTGTCCCTGACCACATACACAAAGTGAGATACTATATGAGTCAAAACAGTCAGCTCCCTGTGTCATATGTGCTGCCGTGAGTCAGCTGGCCTGAACTGATGGTGAGGTGTGCAGGGTATGTGATCAGTGCCCCAGTCACCGGGTCATGCAGTAGAGACAAGGAACAAATGGGACTGGTAGGGCCTGAAGCAGTTAATGGAGGAGGACCATGTGTGAGATGGAAGACTGAACTATCCCGAAGTCCAACAGGATTTGAGTAGGCAGAAAGGAGAAAACAAGACATTCTAAGTCGTGGGAACAACAGATGGAAGGCTGGGTGCCGGGAGTGAGCCTGCGGGTTGTGGGAGAGGGCACAGACATGCCAGTCTGGAACAGAGGAGTCAAGCCGGAGCCCAGCGGGAGATAAGGTTGGAAAGATAGCATGGCACCTTGCCTGCCAGTGAGGAATTTGGCTTCTATCCTATAGGCAAATGGAGAATGATGGAGGCTTTTTGTCCTTGAGGTGTTTGAGGAATGAAAAGTGTGGGTTCTGCCAATCACTGTGTGATTAGAACAAACCACTTAGCATCTTTGAGCCTTCTGTCTTTTCATGGGGACAACAATGTCATAGGGATCTAAGATGTTTATAAAATACCAGAAAGGTGCCTGCCACAAAGAAAATGCTTGATCTGGTTGGTAGCTGACGTTGACTCTAGTTCAGACTGAAGGAATAGGAAGAATTTGAAAGCAGAAAATGCCAGCAGATACTAGTAGTTTAGGAAGATGGCTATGCCTGAGGTCGCAGCAGTGAAACCTAATTACCAGACACCTTCCTCTATGCATTCAAGTTTCATAAGCTCAGAGGACAACAGTCAGAATCCTATAGATCGTGCTAGGTAGGAATACAGGTTTGGCAGTCAGGCTGCCTGTGTTGGTCCCAGCTTTGCCACTTACCACGCTTACCAGCTACATCCCTGTGGGCAAGGCACTTACCCTCTTTGTGCCTAAGAATTATTATGAAGATGCAGTGATTGGTCTGTATAAAGGGCTTAAAACAGTGCCTTCGAGAGAATAAGGACCATCCAAGTATGAACCATTATTGTTTTAGAATTCTGTAAAAGGAATTTTGAGGCACAGACTGAAGATGAGGGGAGCTAGGAGGAAAGTTCTATGATCTGAGCATTTTGCTAGTTCTTCCCAAGTAAAGCGTTCCCAACAAGGTCAGTAATTAGGAGCCCAACTTGAGAACTGGAAGTAAATGACAAAGCCTCTAGGTCGCAAACACTGTCACAAAGCACATCGTCCTGATATTACCTGAGCACTGGGGGCTAGTTTCAGTCTCTTATGATGACAGAGGTTACCATAAGGTGGCACATCATAAATAGCACACTGGCAGGCTAGCAAAGGGAGGTGGAGGAGAGGAGACAGCACAGCCATAAAAGCAGGGAAGCCTGGTCTGTGTTACTCAGGGCAAGGGCCATCACTAATTTGTAAGACTGTACAATGATTGATTTTCAACAGTAATGTCCTTTGAGTTACCATCAAAAGATTAAATCACCTACAGTTTATTACTCTCTGTTTCAGTATACCCATTTTAGACTTTTCCCCCATAAAAATTGTTAAAATATAAAAATTCTGACATGTAAAAGAAAAAGGTTGTTATCTAGAAAAATCACTGAACATGATACAAGTTAAAGTGATCCAGAGAAAACACTCTCATAATTCAGAGAAATTAAGAAATGTATTTTGAAGATAATTTAGATCACTTTTCAGTATTAACTGCTATTTTGAAATTATCAGTAGACTGACTTCGTTAACCTAAAGAAAAAGAAATGGCTTACCATGATACATTTCGCTTGTAGAATCAATTCCTTAAAACTTCAAGAAGAAATCTTGTTTGAAAAGTATTTATTTGTGCTTTGAAAGGCGGAGGTGGGAGGATCACTTGAGGCCAGGAGTTCCTAACTAGCCTGGCCATCATGGTGAGACCCCATCTCTACAAAAAATTTAAAAATTAGCCAGGCGTGGTGGGGCACATCTGTAGTCCTATCTACACAGGAAGCTGAGGTAGGGGGATCACCCGAATGCAGGAGTTCGAGGCTGCAGCAAGCTGTGATGGTGCCTCTGCACTCTATCCTATGTGACAAAGGAGACTCCATCTGTTTAAAAAAATTTCTTTTTTATTTTACAAAGTTGAACTTATGGGGAAAAAGTAACAATATACATTTACTGTTTGAGATTGGTGAGGAGTAGACAAATGTCAAATTGCTATTTTATATTTTAACTTACAAATGCTTTAACTGACCATTTAAAAATAAAGATGATTGATTTTTATTTTAATAATCCATCCAAAATTACTATTGAAATACTTTCTTGTACAATTGATGCTCTGATAACTTAAGCCTATCTCAAGAGTTTTCCTGTACCTTCTGCTGTTAAGAGATTTAAAAGAACAGAGGAAACAGTGAAAACAAATCCTGAAATAAAATTTCATTTAAGAGTTTCAAGATGAAGTGGAAACTAAAATGTATATTATCAAAAGTACTCAGATATATCCTCTGTTGGGTTCAATAGCCACTATCTTGCTGATTTCTCAGGTTGCTAACAAAATTAAAAATAAGACAGACTAGCAATGCTAATGCTGCCAGGATAAATAACAATGTAAGTGTGCCTGTATTGTTACCATAGGCCACTTTCATAGGGTAGAGAGTTGGGAATAGTAAAATGAATATTTTGTGACTGACTCAAAGTTTAAAAATTGAAACCTTAAGTATATGGGTATATTTCAGCTATTATGTATTTTAGCAAGCTTTTTTTTTCCCCCAAAGGCCTTGTCAGGTTTTCACGTTACCAACAAACAGGAGAAAACTACCCTGAGTTTTAGAGACACATTATAGAAACAAAAATTCATCTAATTATAGAAGAAAGAATGATGAGCCAAGAAACAAAATAATGAGGATGGGTATGGTATTTGATGCCAAGAGTTAGGATAACTAAAATCACTGTTAATTATTAACACAAGTTACTTAAAACCACCTACAACTAAAAAATGACCCCCAAAATCAATTATATTTGCTTATATAAGTCTATACTACTATCAATAAATACTACCTGAGTTGATTATATGATTGTTGTCACAGTTGTCTGCTGTGCTCTGAAAGTACCCCACTTCAGGCACACTGATATAAAGCATGTTCCTGGCCCTTGGAAAACAAAATGAGTGAAATATTTCCCCGTAGAAAAAAATCAGTAACAGTTCAGTCCAAGTGGTGTTGAGAGTTAATGCAGGATTCATTGCCAAGGGTGACATTAAACACGCTGAGTTTAGAAGGGGAAAACACTGACGATTGGAGCAGGGCGACGGGCTTCGCGGAAGAAGCAGGCTCTCAGGCGAGCGGTGTTTGGATCAATGAACCCTATCAAGAACAGGTGGTAAACTAATACAAATTAGAATTATTTTGTTTACTTAGTTATTTATATTTTGAGAGAGTGTCTTGCTCTGTTGCCCAGGCTAGAGTGCTGTGGCATCAGCGTAGCTCACAGCAACCTCAAACCCCTAGGCTCAAGTGATCCTCCTGCCTCAGCCTCCCGAGTAGCTGGGGGTTACAGGTGCACACCACCACGCTCAGCAAATTTTTTCTGTTTGTAGTTGCCCAGCTAATTTTTTTTCTATTTTTAGTAGAGACAGTCTCGCTCTTGCTCAGGCTGGTCTGGAACTCCTGAGCTCAAGCCATCCTCCCACCTGGGTCCCTCCAGAGTGCTAGACAAATTAGAACTTCCAAGAAGGGACTGGGTCTAATGGTGGGGACATTCACGTAGTCCCGACTCTGTCTTTTGACATTTTCATCCCTGGTGTGCTCTGTTCCTCATACCCCAACATCCTTAGTTGCTTTATACTGTCCTTAGTGCGAGTGTTCCTCCTACTTTAACAGACTCAAGAGGAATTAAAAAATCCTTCCTTTTGTTTCCAGGAGCCTTACTGAGACAAGGCCGGATTATTTTTATTACTATTTACAAATACTATTAAAAGCTGGAAACAACAGAAGAAATAATCAGGGAGGAAATAAAGAGTGCCACGAATCGACAGGGCCCGGCCTGCAAAGCACAGCCTTCCTATTCCTTTTCTTGGGAGCTCCGAGCAGCAGCATTCTCGGCTGGGGCTTCCCCCGCCCACAGCCAAATTGGCCCAGGGCAGCCGCCATTTTGACGCGGCCCTCAGGCTCGCTCCACGTGACTGGCGCCATCTTTCTCCCGCTAGGGCACTGTGGGGAGCGCGTCCTGGCCGCCTGCCGAGTGACTGACGGGGAGTGTCGGCATCTTACTACGCTCAGGATGAGGCCAAAGGTATCTCCAAGAGGGAATATAGTTAATTCGAGAAGTCGGGGAGGGGGGAACAGCAGAAGTGGGGGGAGGGGCAGAGGGTGAGGTTGATATCGTCAAAACTAGAGACTACTATAATCTTTGAATTACGGATGTCAGATAAAATACATAAATATTGCGTGGAACATAGTAAAACCAAAAAAAGTATTCCTTGTTTATCTGAAATTCGAATTTATCTGGGTGTTCTGTATTTTTATTTGCTAAATCTGGCAATCCCACTTTTAAGGGTTCTCGGAAACACCATTTCTCCAGGGCCTCATAGAAATAGACCGTTTATGCCCCGAGCCACGCACACTTGTGCCAAATCCAGTCTCACTTATGTGTTTGTATGGCCTGTAAGTTAAGAATGAGGTTTACATATTTTAATGGTTGAATGAAAGTTAAAAAGAATATTTTGTCACACATGACAATAGTATGACATTCAAATAAAAAGTGTCCATAAAGTTTTATTGCAACGCTGCCACACCCATCCCAGTCCTGTACTGTTTAATTCCTTTGAAGGTACAAGGGCTGTGTTCAGTAGTTGCATCAGAGACCATATGGCCTACACATCCTAAAATATTAATTTCAGGTCCTTTATGTAAAAAAGTGTGTGACTCCTGCTGTAGACTTCCATTTTTTTGATACTCCCAGTATGATTTTTTTTAAAAATGAAGATACATTAAAATGAGTTAACACATTGCAGGCATGTCCAAAGTGGTGTTTTTTTGTTTTGTTTTCTATCTGAGTACAGAAACTTTATTGTGTTATTTCGGTGCAGATATCCTTACATTCACATAAATATACATTTTTCTATTTAAATATATGACATGCATCATCTTTGGGGACAATAAGCTCCTTGTGTTTATTTTTCCTCCCTTTCCTTTTTGTTATTTGAGAATATTACTGGAGTACAAATGTTTAGGTTAATATATTGCCTTTGCTCCTCCCAAGTCAGAGCTGCCAGCGTGTGCATCCCCCAGACAGTGCACACTGCACCCATTAGGTATGAATATACCCATCCCCTCCTCCCCACTCCCACCTGCCCAACACCTAATGAATGTTACTACCATATGTGCATATTTAAGTGTTGATCAATTAATACCAATTTGATGGTGAGTACATGTGGAACTTGTTTTTCCATTCTTATAATCCTTAGTAGAATGGGCTCTAGCACTATCCAGGATAGTACAAGAGGTGCTAGATCACCATTGTTTTTTGTGGCTGAGTAGAACCCCATGGTATACATATACCACATTTTATTAATCCACTCATGTATCCATGGATGCGCACTTAAGTTGTTCCCATATCTTTGCAATTGTGAATTGTGCGGCTATAAACATTTTAGTGTAGATGTCTTTTTTTGTAAAATGTCTTTTGTTTCTTTGGATAGATGCCCAGTAATGGGATTGCTGGATCAAATGGTAGTTCTACCTGTATCACTTTGAGGCATCTCCATATTACATTCCATAGAGGTTGTACTAGTTTGCAGTCCCATCAGCAGTGTGTGAGTGTTCCTGTCTCTCTGCATCCACACCAACATTTATTGTTTTGGGACTTTTTGATAAAAGCCATTCTCACTGGAGTTAAGTGATATCTCATTGTGGTTTTGATTTGCATTTCCCTGATTTTTAAATCCAAAGTGTTTTGTAAAGGGCAGGTTTGGTCTAAAATGGTGGTCCTGCCTTTGCCCCTCAGACAACACTCCCACCCCCACCCCCCTGCCTCAGGTCCCTACTGGCTGCTGGGTTAAAGGGTGAACATGACACAGACCCTGCCATTGCAGTGTTCCAGGTTACCAGAGGGCCTGCCTTATAAATAAACTGTTCTTCTGGAAAGTGTATTAAGGACAAGGGCACTCTAGGGAGGGAGCAGCTGATTTTGCCTGGGGAAGAGAGGAGAGTTAAGCAGGGAGCCCATCCTTACCAGGCAGAAGGGAAGGCAAGAACACCTATTTCAGTCCAGCAGGAGGATAAAGGTACGGATGCATGCAAGTGCATTATATATTCCAGAAATGAAGAAAAGTTACATTTCGCTGAGCCTGAGGGGCAGAGGGTGGCAGGTAGGGCAGGAATGACTAAAGATAATAGCAATAATTAATTCACATATCGCTTTCTCTGTCCAATACTATTATATGTGCTTTCTATGTTAATTTATCACAATAGTCCTTGACATAGATCCTGTCATTATCCCCACTTTATTGTTGAGGAGTCTGAGGTGCACAGAGGTTGAGTGACTTGTGCCTAATCTAAAAAAAAGGGGAAGAGAAGGAGTTGGACTCACACTCACATTCTTAACCACTTCGGTAGGAGTGTTCACTATGGTCGATAGCCACAAATGAATGCGCACAGCGACTTTAGCCTACAGCCGTGATATGAAGGCGCACAGCCGAGCGTCGACTTTAGCTGGCAGCCATGATATGACTTTTCTCATTTTTCATTTATCAAAATAAAATTGTGAACATTTAAAAATAATGTAATGAAAACATATATGTAGATGTTACCTATTGTGATTTACATTACAAGTAAAGCTGCCTGTGAAGTAAAACAAGCTTTCAGTGCTTTAAAGCTTTCCTCATCACACAAGAGCAAAACAGATTTGTCGTCAATGCACAGCACAAACTATCATGCAGACTATGAGTGCCGGCTGTGGGCAAGGTTTCACAGCCAGTGAGCGCTGTACAGAAGTGGTTAACCAAGTTCTGGAAAGGCATTGTTGATTTCTTGTCCCTCAGATCAAGGAGACCTTTGGGAAGTAGGAGTAGAGAGGTGGGATATTTCTCAGGTCCTGGGACTATCTCAGACAGTTTTTGTATGAAGGGTGATAGTATCTTAATGAGGGTGATCTACATTGAGCATCTTGAAGCCACAGCAAACAAAACAAAGGGACAGGTAAGTAAACTTGTTAAGTGTGGTGCAGACTCTAAATGCTGTAGAAAATCAGAAGAGGAAGATTTCTGTTCACCAGTTATGACTGGTGTCTTAGCTGTCTTTTGAGTTGGTCTTTTGGACACACAGTAACAAGGGGATGTGAAGTATACAAAAGTTTTTTCCATCTTTTCTGTTTTTTTCTGTTTGGTCTTGTTCCTAGCTGTATTCCCAGCACCTAGACCAGGGCCTGTTATGGCGAAGGGGCTCATTATTATTTGTTGGATGCATTACAGGGTTTTAAAATATGTATTGTGTGTATTTTTGAATAGGTAGTATATTCACATAATTCAGAAGTTAAAAGGTTCAGAAAGCCAAAGAGTGAAATTCCTCCTACCACTCTTTCCAGTCACCCAGTTCTCTTCCACAGAGGCAACTAGGTTTTACATTTTCTGAGAGTTCTTACAGAGTTATTAAATGTATACACAAGCAAATCCGTGCGTGTTTCCTCTCCACTTCCCCCACGTGCAGCTTTTGGTACAAATGGCAGAATAGTATACACTATGCTCTGCACATGGCTTTTGTTCACTGTGTAACTTGAGATTATTCTCTATCAGTCTGTAAGGATCTTCCTCAATTTGTTTTACAGCTGAATCTCCTACATGGAAATGTCATACTTTATCTGGTTTTCTACATTTGTCATGTAGGTCTTGTTCTTCCTTTGCTCTTAGAAATAGTACTGCAGTGAGGAAAGTAAGGATGTTGAAGTAAAATTTTAAAGCACAGTGATCACCACTTTTTTAGATTAACCAGAAGTCCTCACCACCTGTGGATTTGAAACACCCATTGTAAGAATCTGCCAATTTCAGAGGTGGCCCAGGCTAAAGAAAGAAAAGACAGTGGCTTTTGAGCCAGACAAACTTGAATTCTAAACCTATTCTCCTTAAGGACTGCAATCCATTGGAAAAACTATTGAATTCCTCTTTGGTTTTTCACATCTGAATTGGGATAGTGCTGCTCCTAGACTATGATGATTAAATTAATTGAGATAATGAACAGAAATAGATTGCCTAGGTATGTGGTATGTAGGAGGGAATTAATTCTCACCTTCATCTCACTGTGCTGTGGTGTTGTAGCCCTCAGAATTCTCCTCCTCCTCCTCTCTGCTCCTTTCTTTGCTCCACTTACCTTGACAAGAACAGCTGAATGACCTGGGGGAGCTATGGCATGGATGAACCTTTAGGACATGATGCTAATGTGAAAAAAGCCAGTCATAAAGGACCACATATTGTATGATTCCACTAATTTGAAATGTGCAGAAAAAGCAAATCTATAGATTGATGGTTTCCTAGGCCTGGGGAAGTTGGGGGAATATGGGGAGTGATTGCTAATGGCTACAGAGTTTCTTTTTGGGGTGATGAAAAAAAATTTGTTTTTTTGAGACCAAGTCTTACTCTGTTGCTTGGGCTAGAGTACACAGCAACCTCAAACTCCTGGGCTCAAGCAATCCTCCTGCCTCAGCCTCCTGAGTAGCTGGGACTATAGGCATGCACCACCATGCCCAGGTAAATTTTTTATATATATACTTTTAGTTGTCCAGTTAATTTCTTTTTTTTTTTTTTTTTTGAGACAGAGTCTCGCTTTGTTGCCTAGGCTAGAGTGAGTGCCATGGCGTCAGCCTAGCTCACAGCAACCTCAAACTCCTGGGCTCAAGCGATCCTTCTGTCTCAGCCTCCCAAGTAGCTGGGACTACAGGCATGAGCCACCATGCCCGGCTAATTTTTTAATATATGTTAGTTGGCCAATTAGTTTCTTTCTATTTATAGTAGAGACGGGGTCTCGCTCTTGCTGGTTTCGAACTCCCGACCTCGAGCAATCCACCCGCCTCAGCCTCCCAGAGAGCTAGGATTACAGGCGTGAGCCACTGCGCCAGGCCAATTTCTTTTTTAGTAGAGACAGGGTCTTGCTCTTGCTCAGGCTGGTTTCGAACTCCTGAGCTGGCCTCCCAGAGTGCTAGGATTACAGGCCTGAGCCACCAAGTCCAGCTGAAAATGGTTTTAATTGATGTGATTTGCATAATAGTGTACTAAAACCTGTAGAATCATATACTTTGAATGT